CTTTCAGGTCGCAGTCGCACCTCAACCTCAAGCACAGAGATCAAGACATCGATATCACAGAGAATCTGACGCTGACAGAAATCAGTGGGTTTTGTTTTAGCAGTTTGATCACATTTTTATGCGGTTACATACATAGGCGCAGTAAATGATGATGATCATTTTGAAAAATGATCATTTTGTGCTTTTCTATGTTGAAATCGTTTTTTTCATAATCTAATCCCTCGGGACATGAAAAGGTAGCGCAGCTTATACAGCTGAAATTTCTCGCCATAAACTTTCTAATGCGCCGGCAGTAATAATCATAGCACACTGAGGATTACTCGATCATAAAGATCATAAATGTCATGACCGACTTCATTCGACGTCATTTCAGGCAGTTTGCTTCTACAGTTGAACGAAGAAATAGCAGCTCCGGTTTAGTATTACCGGCTTATCAAGCGTATTTCCATAATGGTGGTGAAGAACGACTTGGTGAGTAGATCTCTATTTGTGACCTTTCTTTTTTGAATGATTATTCGTACCACTGCTATTTCTTCCTGTCCGACGAAGCTAACTTTAGCTTATTTAAAACTAATCTTTGTTCATTTGCAAATTGGAACCATCATAATTTTGTGCCTATTGTGTTTTGTTAGCGCTCTCTGAAAATAGCTTTAGTGAACCGCATCTATCCGTCTGAAATCTTTACAACTTTCGAGTATTTTTACTGACCTACCCAGCAGCTAACCTATTCACTGTCCGACTGTTATTGCGCAAAAGTTTCTTCGTATCATTTTTGAAGAATATTACTTCTGCTCTATATACGAACTTGCGCAACTTAGTTTCCTTAGTAAGGAAAATTATACTCTTTGTGATAGTACATCTGCTCTCTAGAAAGGAACAGCTCTGAGGTAGAAGCAGGAGAAAAAAATCACTTTAGTTTCGGTCATTTTGAGTTGGGCTGCTGAAAATCTGAAACTTGCGATAAATTTCGGAGGCTGTAAAGGGTGGATCAAAGGACTCTACTGCTTGCTCGGAATTTTAGTTTCAAGTTTCAGATTTTTAGCAGCTTAACTCAAAATGACCGAAACTAAAGTGATTCTATTCTCCTGCTTCTACCTCAAAGCTGTTCCTTTCTAGAGAGCAGCAAATGTACTATCACAAAGAGTATGATCTTCTTTATTTAGTAAACAAGATGTGCAAAATCCGTCGAGTTGAACAAGAAGTTTTTATCTTGCGAACTAACTTCTAAACCAACTATGGTTTTGCTTAAATATCGTTTCATATATGTCCCAAATCGTTGTCCCAAATTGTCCCAAATCTCAATCGTTTTAGCTCTAGTTACGCACTATTTTGTTGAAAGCAAACTCCAATATTTTTTCGTTTTTGTTTCTACCGTTTCTCTGCAAAAAATGTTTTTCACCCCGTGATGTGCACTTTCGCTTTGATACTAATGATTGTGAGGTTTGGTAGGTCACATGAGCAATGAGCAAGTGATTTTGACATTTCTGTTCCGATCTCTGCTCGAACACCAACTTTTTTCACTTTACGTTGTAACAGAAATCTTAGTACTTGTTATGAACCGACATTTGCGTGATTAATTTGGGTTGACTGCTATGTCAACTGACATTAAGTTGCACGATCCGACAAAAACCAGTTTCTCAAGAAAGAAATTATTGTAACATTGTTTTGAAATATTTTAGTGGATGGTCCTCCTCCCTCACCCAAGGAGTCCAGGGTTGCACAGTTGGAGCAACGAGTACGAGAATTGGAAGCGATGATGGTCGGGCAAGGACCAAACAACACTGTCGTTATACCGGTGACACCGACGCAACAATCGAAACGTACGTGACTTTCGAATTCGAGTGCGCTACTCTCAAAGCACTAAA